AACGAGTCTTATGACCTTTTGGCCCTCGGTTGGAGATGGGGACAAATATGGTCATGTATTGTTTATTAAAATATTAATATCTTGGAGGGCTAGAGAACTAAAACGAGCCCTCTAACCAACCCTCGGCTAGAAATAACCTTACATTTTTTGAATAAATTGTAAGAATTAAATTACGATTTGAGAGAGTAGTAGCGGTCACAATAAAAAATTGTTCTCTTGTGGATGTGAGTTGTAAACTCTTGATGAGGCGTCAGATAGTTTGTCTGCCCTGTGATCTCAATCCAACGAACCAACCAAACCCACCCAGGCAGGCGGTTGCCACTGAGCATTATTTTTACGTTGAAAAATATTCCACACGTGGCACGCAAGGAGTGGACCAAACTGGTAGACTTTGTTGCCTGGAGGCTGGAGTGGCGTGTACCTCTCATGTCATCATTCATTGTCCAGTGTGGTGGTAGCCATAGCGGCATCCCAACGTCACACCAACTGCATGCCCAACCTTAGCCGAAATCGGCCAAAGTATGGAACGGACAGCCACCGCTCGCCACGTGTTTCTTCCCCTCTATTGAAAAATGAGATATTTCGGATTTGTTTCCATCCCAGTCACCGGCCTCAGCAAATAAGAGGCTGGAGTTAGATATATATACACTTCGGTGATGCCACATGTTCAGGCACGTGGAGTGCTTACAGCTCTTTGACGGTGGGCTTCATGGGAGCTGCTCTGCCGCGGTCGATGTCTGGTCTCGCTATCACTGGTTTAGCTCCCACATAAAACCAGCCCCCACATATCCTCTGTAAACACGTACTCAAAAATCTGTCCAAAACTGCGATCGAGCGAGCTATATATATCAAGAGTGTGGATGTAGAGTACTCTTGAAACAAGCAAAATGTATACAAGTATTATTCATTTATCGATGGGGAATTCGATTTAATTAACAAAAAAAAAAAGCTACGTATTTAGCTTTGATTAAAAAAAAAAAAAAAACTATGTATTTAGTGCTACTTTTTATTTTTATTTTTTTCTTGAAATTAAAGAGCATATCGTTGAAAAATGAAAAAAAAAAAAAAAAAAGCAAAAGCCAGGAGGGAGATTCCATATTTTTCCCATTTGTCCACGTAACATGCATATATTATGGAATGATGAGTTGCTTATCAAAGAGGAAACTAATGAAAATGAACGACGTAAACAAGTCTAGCTTGTTTTGTAATTATATCATTATATGTATATGTATATGTATATGTATATATATGTAGTCATCAATCAAACACTTTTTAATGGTAACGACAATTAGTTATGATACGACACAAAGATTTCAATATATATAGACGATGATGCATGCGCAGCTAGCCAAGAGATCTCATGAGGTCCCATAAAATCCTGTCCTTTTGATGAATATGTCTTGTTCCTAGCAAGCAAGCAATTGCTAAGTCATGGCTATGCATATGCATATGCATGCATGTCTTAGTCGATCAAAAGTCTAAAACGACTACTATATATGCATGCTTATGTCTAGTTCATATAATTTATTAAAACTTAACAGTACGTACTTGTCAAAATCCACGTTCACAAAACAGATCTAATAGTAGTTTAAATTCTTACCATCGCACTCATGACAAAAAGGTTTTCATATTACAAATTAGCATTTGCCTACATACTTTGTGTGTATAAACAATTTTTTTTAGAAAATGAGAAGGAGAGAGGGAGAAAGAGAGAACGTGGGGGGAGTGGGAGGTTTTTGTTTTTGGTTTTTATTTTTTTATTTTTTATATGAGAGGTATTTTAACATCACATGTAGGTGAGACTTCAATAAAAAACAGTAAAATTTGGACATGTGAAATTACATTATTGCCCATCATTATTTTTGTGTGATAGAAGACTGAGTAATCTTTTTACCCTCATTTAGTTGACAAATAAGGTTTCATTAATTAATAAAGATAATATTATATATATATATATATATATAGCTCTAAGAGAAAATATAGACCAGCGAATAGCTACAAGTTCAAACTCATTTTCCTGAGTTTAGATTAAATTAGTGCCTAGTTGAACATGCTTTTTGTTTTTCTTTTATTAAAAATAAAAATACAAGTAAACATTATGAGCCGAGGTCGGACGGGGTTTGATATATAACAGATAATACTATTCTAGAACTACCGGAATCAGTCACGACAATGACCAAATCCAAATGATTTTAATATATTTTGAGAAATTCAAATCATTCATTTCCCAAAACGAGAGCAGGTCCTCCACCTGTTATCGTACGAATGCATGCCTGCCAAGTTATTTACCTACTTACCAATGTAATGAAAGCCAAAATAACGTGTCATATGATATTATGTGTCCATATTATTCATTTTTCTTTATTTGTTTGTCATAATTCATTTTTCTTTTATTTTTTTTGTTACAATTCATTTTTCTTACAAACAACGTTAACTACTACTCCGGAACGCAACGCGTTGTACAAAAATTCTATATTGATTTTGGATTGTGATCAAGTGTCAATTAGGATATTCGACGATGGGAGTAATAAAAGAAGAGTTTAAATATATTAATTTCATTCTCATTAATACCAATGTTTTTTGTGATAAAACCTATACTTGACAGATTGTGCAGGTGGTAATTACTAAATTGGAGACAATATCGGTATTGTTAGAAGTGGACATTTGGGCCGTCGCTCTGATAATTTGACACAAACAACAATTGCATGATGAATTGTCCGTTTATTAAATACATATTTGCGACTAAACAATCTCTGATTCAAATGATTTTTATAGCAACGATCTTCAAACCAAATAAAGATTAAGAAATTGAACGATTTATATTATAAAATTTATACCATTTATACAAAATCCATACCTTGAATATATGTTATAAAAAAGTGAGATGTATACATTCTATGGAGAGATGCAAGTTTTATTTTTTTTCATGCTCATAAGTTAGTAATTACTGGATAAGTGCAGATATTGTTATTCATTCGGTGTCAACGATGGATGAAAGGGAAGGAGACATGAGGACAACATATCCATATCTCAAGTAACAATTGAAATAAGTACGGTAAGAGTTTGACTCCTTAAAGTTTGTGATATATTAACAGAGTTTCGTTTTTATAATCAAAAGCGTTCATATTATAAATTATTCTGTAAATATTATTTTTGTAAAAAATCAATTAAAACTAAGATTGTTTTGTCAATCAATTGTAGCAAGTAGATAGACTGTTCATAATGCTTTTACCGAATTCGTCTATTTGTTATTATATAGTTTGATGACTAAATGATCTTAATTTTAATTGATTTATAATATGAATGGTTCCGATCATAAACATGAAGTTTTATAAATATGTCACAAGGTATTTTAAGATCGATACTTGATTTTTCAAAGATGAGGAGGGATCGTCTTCAAAATACTTTGCGCCTGATTTGCAGAACTTCACTAATACTCAAGATCGTTCACGTTACAAATCACTAGATCATCTCACAAAAAAAAAAAAAAAAATTAAAACCAAGATCGTTTATCAATCACCTATTGAAAATAGATAAACGGTTTTTAATGTTTTTATCAAAATCGACCATCTATTGCATACCATTCAATGACTAAACATTCTCATATTATATTAATTATTTGTAATGCTAACCTTTACATATTGATTTGTAATATATTGTTCTAATCATAGGAATAAAGTTATTTTGAATCAGTTACAAACTATTTTTAGGAACCAAATTAATTTCTTTTCTATGGTGCTTCCAAAGACGTGATATTTTGGACTTTACAATGATTAAATATTTGTTCAAAAATACAAAAAACAAGATATGATAAGAATAAAGAAGTAAGATTCTCTCCTCTCTTTTTTTCCCTTTCATTCCTACATATTTGAATGGTCATGATTAAGTTATGTCAACATCTTATATTAATTTTATATAAAAAGAGAAAGACAAAATAGAGAATGTGAGAGGAGGGGAGAGAATCATAGTCCGAGAATAAAAAGGATTTTACATGTGTTTATAAGTAAATGAACTACTTTTCATATTAACAATTAATTTTGAGAACATTTATTAGTACTCCAAAAATCATAATTCGCACTCTTCACATGTGTATTTTTCTTTAAAATTATAGAAAGTTTAAAATACAAAATAAGATATTTGAAGTGTTATAATAATTTCTTTAATTTTATGATGAAACTTTAATTTTTTCCAAAATGCAACAGTTTTTGTTCAAGAAAAAATTATAACAGTTAAAAATCTTGAAGTACCCTATATTCGGCAGCGCCATAAAATTTTGGGATAAGCCTCTTTCTCGAACGAGGATCCTTAGGATCCTATTTGTGAGGATTCCGGAGATCCTCAAATCATGTAAGTTCATCATACATCGTGTGATGTGACTAGTTTTCGTCAATTACTATTTATATTTAATTTTAAATAAAAATATTTAATATGATTTATGATCACACGATATACAATGAACAAATACAATTTGAAGATCTTCGGGATCCTCGCAAAAAGGATCCGGAGAGATCTTCATCCTTCTTTCTCCCCCTCCCTCCCTAATTGTAGGAGTAATTGCACCATTATTGGGTTTTGACACTTGTCATGCATTTTGTGAAATATTTAGTCGTGATGAGGACGAAGTGGATCCAAGTCAAATGGAAGTGGCTTTGTTTTGTGCTATTTTTTTTAGTTCTGAAAAGGGAAAAGAAGAAAAGATGAGTTACCATTTAAACAAGTGCGCATTCCAATATCAACACCAACATTCTCAATTGAAATTAATTATTGGGATGTTAATAATTGTTGCCGGAAATAGAAAGAAGGGTGAAAAAGTAAAAATGACAAGAATAACGGCTATTTAATATTGACAGAAGAAAAAAAAAATGAGACCCACCAATTTTTTCCGTCTCATCTCATCAGCCGAGTAATGTCCGTCTGATGAGGGATGAGCACCGCAACGAGAGAGAGAAAAGAAAAAAGAATATAGGGAATTTTATTTCGGGAATAGGGTGCCATTAAAAACTCGATTAGTATCCAAGGAATGAAAAAAGAAAAAGAAAAGAAGGGAGAGAGAAAGCGACTGAATGGCGATCGATATATAATAATAGGAAGGAAGGGGATACACAAAGTCGAAAGTTGCATAGCGGTTTTCAGTTTTCCAGTTTTCAACTTCCACCAATTCCCCCCTTTGTCAATTCTGTGTTGAGCGAGTGATAGTTAATTAAGAAAGAAGAGAATATAACAAAGTAAAGTATAAACAAAGGGCCTCCCCCTGGATTTGATTTTTATTTAGTATATTTATATAAGGAATTTCCATTTTCCAAATTTCCAATACCCTTCTCAGTCCTCTCCTCACCTGTTTGTTTGGCTCTTTCTTCTCTGGACTCCGGACGACTCTACTCCTACATCAACAAAAGGCAGTCTGGGCTTTTCCTCCTTGCAATATCTTTCAAGGTCTGTTGGTCTCTCTGTCTGTATGTCTGTCTGTCTGTGATCTATCTCTCTCCAGACTGCAGACACCAAACAAGCTTAAAGCTGAAAGCTTCTTAAAGGCTAAAGGCGGTAATTGTGGGGTGTCCACCAACTTGCAAACTCGATCCAAAGTTTCTGCCTTTATGTTAATTGGTAAGTATTCTCGCCTTCTCACCCAATCAATTATTCAATTGCTTCCAATTGCTTGGATTGGAGCCTTGGGAGACTTTGGAGTCCCTGCAAGCTCGATGGTTTGAAGTTTAAAGCTTGAAGCCTGAATTCTGGGTTGTAATATAATTTAACTTAATCGAATTCTTTGCTCCAGTTGTTGCTTGTTTCTGCTTGTTTGTTTGGACACCCTTTCTTTACTCACAATCCTCAGCTCAAGTTCACTGTTCCGTGAGAGGAGGGGTTGCTTAGGTTACTCCAATTACCAAATACGAAATGCATTCCTTTCCTTTCCTCCAGTCCAGTAGAGTATTTGTAGTACAATTGTTGGATTGCTTTACTTTCACATTTAACATTTCATTCAATGGACGGGCAAACTTATGCATATGCAAATGCAATTGTGCAATTGTGCAATTGGTTGCACGAGAAATCACCCCCTTCTTTCTCTTTCTCTTTCATCTCTTGTCCAGCGCCAGCGCCAACGCTAACGCCATGCACCCCTCATGCCTTTCATGTGATTCATTCTCTTCCCTTTTCACAAAAAAACTAACTAATTTTTCTTTCTTTTAGCGCCTCTAATTCTGCTGTTTCATTTTTCTTTTTGCTGCAGAAAAAACCACAACGCTTGACCAATCACTCACCCTTCCTATAACAGACAAGGTTTGTTTTTTATTCATCAATTTTACCCAACTCATTTATTTGTTTACATACTACTACTTGATGCTCCCTCCCTGCACACTTGGTCTACCTTTGGAAAGTACATAGATATGTATATAGATAGATAAATATATATAATAGTTTTTAATACCAATTGAGAAAAATTAATATCTCAATCTCAAGGACAGAGAGAGTTCTAGTCAAGCCATTTGGGTGTCACTCGTGAATAACAACCTACTACTTGTGCACTTTGGTGGTTGACATTTAATTATGCCTTGATTGCTGTTTATGTTTCACCTCCTTGTGATGCCCATCTTCATCCTTTGGTCTATAATATTTGAACAATCTTCGTTTCTGGTTCATATGCATGCATTTCTGAATTCACCACTGTTGTATGTGTGAGAGAGAGTTTGCCTTCAATAAGTTGCAAATTCATATACATAAAGAATCGTATGCATGTGTCTATATACATAGCCTCAACTGTGCCGATGCTGATTGACTAAAATTTGTTTGGGTAGCAGATATAGTCAGTCTTAGGATATGGGATGCCTGGTCTCAACACCGAAAGATGCACTAGGAAATAGGAGAAGGCCTGCAAACATTGGGGAAGTCTCTGTCTATGTCCCTGGTTTGCGAATCCCTAAACCTGTTGATTTCTCTCAGTCACTTGGTGATCACTTGTCCAAGAGTTTAGTGGAACGCCTATCTGCATTAAGGACTCGCATAGTTGTGATGGCTGCCCAAGAAGGTCCGACAATTACCAGAACAAAGAGAAGAGCTGCTACTCAACATGGTTTGTCATAGACACAAGCTTGTTGATTTTTCCAAATGATATCTGAAATCAGATATTTCTTTATCTGCATGATTCTTGTCCTCAGGTGGTTCAACATTGGCCGATCTTCAGCAGGCTCTCGAGGATTACTTGCCTGTCCTTTTGGGATTAATGAAAGATGGTAAATCATGATCTCATGCCATCTCATTAATTGTATCCACAAGTTTTAGTAAACCCTAAAGGTGTTTCTTATTTCTATTGTGAAGGAAGCCAGCTACACCACAAGGTTCAATTTTTGTGGGTAAATCAAGAGGATGATGCAGAGGTGGGCATGTAGGAGCGCTCTTAAAACTCATATTTCTCTGTTGTGCATATTATAGTTTTTGCTTTCCCTATTTGGTCATTCCTCAAATGGTGTTCAGATTCCATGATATTGTAAAGGGAACCTGGCTTAATTTGAATGAATGATTTTTCAGGAAACAGCTATGTCTAACGCATGGTACGAGGTGCTGTCGATTTTGCACTTAATGGCAATGCTAGCATTTTCACAAGCTAACTTGTTACTTCTTCCAAGAACATCTGCTGATGGTTATCAGCCAAAAGTAACAGAAGGTAGGCATTATCGCATGAAAACTGAGCTATAGACAATTAAATCATGTTTTCTTTTGAATTTTATCAACTCAATTATTATCCTACTATTGCTTGTTGAGTTAACGAGAAAAGTTGTGTTGCCAATGCTTTCTGGAATGAGTACACCTTTAATGGTGATGAAGTCCTCTCTTTAGAGTTTTGAAGAGAACTTAGAGCTATAGCATGAAACTGTCGCCTGAATTTAGGAACCAGATGCAGTAAGTTTTGGGTGAAACCTTGTATGGTTGACTAGGAACTAAATGAAAAATAGTAGACATTGGAAAACCGGAGATATGGACAAATTCATTAGATTATGTCATTAAACCCTTAAAAGCAGGATGCTGATATGTAAAGAATTCACTAAGGCGAGTGAAAAATGGATTTCCTGATCCATATACTTAAATTGAGATTCTTGTGTTTGATATTTTGTACTAAGGTCTATGTATCACCTGTTTATATTATATAATCAGAAATATTGTTTTCGTTAGAGTTCTAAAGAAAATTAACAAAACTTGTGCATGCAGTAGTTGTCGTCGGTCTACCTTTAGGTTTGTATATTGCCAAGTTTTTCATTTGGTTGTGCCTTGCATGGCACTTTCTTTTTCATTGGTCATACTATGAAGGTTCCATTGTTTTACTTGTTGCTACAGAGAGTAGACGAGCTTCCATTGATATTTTCCTGAAGGCAGCAGGATACCTTGATTGTGCAGTCCGACATGTCCTTCCACAGTTGCCTACTGAGCTCAAGTTTGTATCAGTTTAAAAATTGCACTGATTTTAACTTTCTGCTTGTTATCATGTTCCTAATGCTGTTATTTATAATCTTTTGACTATTGCTTGATTGCAGGACAAACCTGCCAGTTGACTTAGCAGAAGGAGTTCTTCGAGCGCTTTGCCTACAAGCATTAGGACAGGTAGCACCTTTACTTAAATGGACCGATCTGGTAAATGTTGCATTTTATATTTCAGGCTTCATGCTTCTGAAACGCCATCTTATTTATAAAACATAAATATTGCAGTCAGCCCTTGTGAACCTATCCTGCTTAATGGGCACAAAGGGTACAAGTGCAATAAGTTTGGTTTTCATTCATCTTTTTTCTTTCTTTTTTGACATCTCATAATGGTCCAACTTATCCTGAAAATGAAATTAAGCTGGAACCCTTGTCTTCTGAAAATTATCTTTTGCTGACCCTTTTTCGCACTTCCACCATCTCATGTAGGGTGTTGATATTCAACTTGGAATGGCAATTGATAGCACAAAAGCCACACTTGCAGTGAAGCGAAGGCTTGCATGTGAAATGGTAAAGTATTGGCAACAGGTAAGAATTTATCATCATTGCCGGTTTGATCTTGTCAATTAGTAATATCATTTAATGTCTGGGATTTGTGTAATAAATTTTCCATGCCTCCATTGTGTCCCTATTTCTGTTCATCTCCTTTGGCTGTAGTACATATATTCAAAATGTGAAATTTGAATTTGGACCATTGTGAATTGAGTTGGAAAGAGGAAACATTAGTCAGCCCTGAATAGCATCAGTTTAGGGTCTGAATTTAGATATTCTAGATTAACAGACCATTAGAATGATCCTAAAACCGCGTTGTGAGTACATGATGGATTCCATCCATGGTAAGGTGAAAAAACTAAAAATGATAACAAAGATGCACCGTCTGACTACTCCAAACATGAGGATCTAACCTCCAGTCTCTGCGTTTGTCTAAAATCATATTTTTTTTATCAGTATTCTTTTTATTCTGAATCCAATTTTTTGCTACATTCTTAGGTTTTCCTTTTGCCTTTCCCGACATTGAGTAATTTTGGCTGTTCTGTATTCGGAGTAGTTGTGAGAAGTTCCTTTATGTTTCATATCAGTTACATGTCATATATAGGTCATTAATTCTTATGGTTCACTATGTTTCTCATGATTACACTCGTCATCCTAGCACATTATATGTTTGTTGAATCACATGGTGATCCTGATTCCTGAACGCTTTCGTTCTGCCATTTATTTGCAGGCTCAAGATAACCTTATGAACCTTCCCTTATTAAATGGTTGGGGTGAAAAGCATCGGCTCTTTGTGAAGTGGAAATATGTTGAGGCAAAGGTATCTTGCACTTTCTGCGTGTCCTTTTTTATGCTCTTACTACTATCCTTTTTAAACTTATGAGTTCCTTCCTCAACGCCCCTCCCCCTCTCTCCCAAAGATAGCATATTTAAACTAATGAGTTCCTTCCTCAACGCCATAGTATTTATGAGAGTAATATGAAAACCAAAAGCATGATTTATCCTTCTGAAGGGAAAATAATGGACTTGTTGTGATTCCTCTAGAAAGCAAAGCACACTTGTAGTTTTCTAAAAAAGATATCAGGTTGGTCATATGTATTTTCTACTTTGGGGATTACTTGCTCATTTGGTTTGTCCTCCCTTGTATTAGATTGTGTGCATGCAGATTTTGATACGCTATTGCCTTTTCTGAATGAGTAACTGCCAAACAAAAGTATCTTGAACTATTCATGAAGAATATTGTATTTCATTCTTTCGAGTTGATCTCGCTGATAGAGAGGGGGCTTATGCCGCTAATGTAGAATATTTGTTTTCATTACGATTGAAGTTTGTGTTCTGGACAGCTGACCAAGGTTCTTCCAATTTTAACCTTCCCATTTTACAGGCTGCTGCATATTACTATCATGGTTTGATCCTTGATGAGGGTAACACAGAAAAATTTCATGGGATGGCTGTAGCTGCCTTGCAAGCAGCAGATGAGTATTTTAAAGACAGGTAGGAAGGCATGCGATGCATTTAACGCTGCTCCCCCTTTGTCGAGGTAGGGAGAGGCTCTATTTGCACATTCATTTTACTGATTTCAATGGATGCCATCTAGCAGATTATCTGCTGTTTTTCTAGGGGCAATAAAGTATGTGCCGTAGCCGCAATATGTTTATCCTCTCTCCCTATCTCCAATAGTGTCAAACTCAAACTTGTACAAGGACAAACCTAAAATTGTCATAAGTATGAGATTTGCAACTTTAGGCCATTAAAATATCTACTCTAGAGTCATTAATATGGAGTCCATTCTCTAGATATTAGCAAAGAGTAATCTACAGGCCCTTCTTGAAAATTGTGCGTGTCTCGTATGCTGCATTGGTTGTTTCAAGGTTGAAATGTTCATTATCTGATCAGTTTTCTAGTACTTTTCAATTGTTCCTTTAATTAGCAAGTGCTTATTTAATACACATTATGCAGAAATCCACCGCTCTGGGGAACCATGAAGTATCTATCTGAGAAAATTCCTAAAGATACTTCAAGCAAAGTGCGGATAAACCGTGATCTGTACTCGCACGAAAAGTATGTCCTGCCTGAGAGAACTATTACTAATAGTATTTTGTTTATGTCTAAATGCAATTCCTTTTCACTCTTGGCACCCCTAATTGCAATCTCAATGTTCTTGGTTGATGATACATAGAACAAATCCTTGGCAATAATTAATGTATGGTTTTGGATACTTCAACTGCAGAATCATGGAGACAGCGCCAACATTGCCCGATTTTGCATTGGCCTTGAAACCGGATGAATTCCAACTTCCTCCAGTAGACCCCTCTTGGAACATGGAGCACATGAATAAGGGTTCCAACCAGCTCTAATGACAGAATATAAGCCATATACGAGAATACTTTTGTGCATTACAGAGTACAAGTCCAGAAGCGTGGATGGCCATTCAAAACCGGATGGATTATTCTTCAATCGCTGTGCATCCATTTTCCCTTATAAATTTCTTTTGTTCCTCCCCCTTGCGTAATTTACTTTTGATAGAGCTTTGTATAAGTCTCCCCTCTGCTGTGTGTAAGTTGTTAATTGACTGCTTCAGGGAAAGAGCTGAATGGTTTGTTTGCAAATTAACAAAAATGCGGTGTTTGCCCATCAAAGTTAATCCAGTACGAATATGATTGTCCATCGCTTTCATTTCATACAAAAGCATTCCAAAAATTAGTGTTTACAGCCTCGTTTTGCTGGCTGGAAGTTGGATGTCACGTTGGACATGGAATCCGAGAGGGTCTTGGGTGCGTTTTAATCCACAACTGTGCACGTGCTGCTCTATAATTTCTCCTCTAGGTGGAGGTGGTAGCTGTAACCAAGGTTTCTCCTGTAATCTTTTCATCAACAGAACAAGGATAATCAAGCACAACATCACACATTGTGGCTCCAAACGGTCGGAATTTCAAACGTGGAACTGCAGGCAGGCCATTCTGTCTAAGGTGTTGATTGCTCAAGAATACATTCATCGATAAATAAATCTAAAAGAAGCTGACTTCCAAGTCGCTACTTGCATACACGTAGCGAGTCTATTAACACTTTTTTGTTGTCAGGCGAAAATACAAAAATTCATTCAGTTTCAACAAAAGCACAGCAGAGTTTATCATCAATAGTAAAACTAAAAGGAGCTGACTTCCAAGTCGCTACTTGCTTACAGGTATAACTCTATTCAACATGTTTAAAAGTGAGCGAGAACAATCTTCTCAAGTTTAATTCGAAGAGCTTGTGTGATTTTCTTTCCTTTTTCCCCTTTTGTTTTTCCGGTGCCAAGGTTAGGAAAAATCAATTCTAGTCTTCACCATTTCTGCCATCTCCATCCAATTGCTTTTGCTTCTCCTGTTCCTCTGCTAAAAACAAAAAATTTTGAACAGAGAGAAAACCAGTGAGTTCAATATGACTAGACCTAGGACTCTTAGGTACAGCCAACGGAATAAGCATTTGATTCTCATTGTCAAAGGTGATAGATTTAGTTAAAGTGTAAAGTGATGCAGTTCCTTGAAACCTTCAAACCATTTCCTAACCAAATTCAATGTTAGTCTCTTACTTTGTAAGGCAAGCACATCAAGGAAAACACTTGACCTTTTAAATACAGAGGGCCAAATTGAGGCTCCTATTATGGTTCCGAAACTATTTACTTCCAGACAATGCGACCGAATATCCAATGGGACACAATGTGAGATGGATATAATATTCCATAATTTCCCAGTGGGTGAAGCATGAACCGTTAAAGTAATAATGGCCAGGAAAGTAACAGTACAAGTTGTAACGAGATCAACTGCTTTATTTCTGAAAAAACAATATGGTAATGGTTTTTGAAACTTATGGCACGCCTTCTAACCAATCAATTTAAGAAAAGATTTGTCATGATTTCCATTCTGTTAAATGTAGCTTTAAAGGGTAATGGTTAATTAGAAAATGGTAACACGGTAACACCATACCCATAAGTTTAAGCATTGCCTTTTGGGTTCGCTTTTCAAGCTTATCAAGCCTCTTCTGCACATCCCTGCGAAGTTCCCAGTTTGGTTTTTTAGGAGCAATATTCACAAACGGGTCCTGAACGTTGATCCATAATTAGCACAAAGCGACATAAGGAACAATCCTTTTGAAAAGCACAGAAGCTAGTGATTAACTGAATAAGAGACTGGGTCTCGAATTTTTGAAGTAACCAAGTACCTCTTTCTTCTCTGATGGAGGTGGTACTCCTGCAACAGGGTCTTCAAACTTTGGCAGCACTGGTGGAACAAGCTTTCCCTCCTGAAGCTGCTTATCATGAGGAACATAGTTTCGGAATTTCATGTTGGTATTACTGCACAAATTTACACTTTAAAGTTAAAGCATCAAATTTTTTTTCTGGATCCTATAAACTTAAAGACCATGAGAACAGAACGATACCTATGTATCATAAAAAATAACAATAATAATAATAATAATGAAAAGCATCCTGACATGGGCCTTCTAATATAAATCAAATATCTCACAACGATAAACAAATACAGCCATGAAATGAATTCAAATGCTACTAGAAGTGAAGATAATAGATTATGAAAAAAAAATGGAAGCAGAAGTCTCATATGTGTATGGTATGACAATATCTACTTCCAAAAATTAATACCGCTGCCCATTTTGGGGATTATTTCAGATTTACTTTTGTCCTTACCCTAAAGATCTTGTGCTCATGATTAAACTACACAATCCATAGTTATGTTATCCCCCAAAAAACCATAAATCACATGCATACCTTGTGCTTGTTGAAAAACATGAAATATTAAACGCAAACAAAACCGTTTAGCATCATCTCTAATTACACGTGCGAATAAATACTGAGCAAGTACGGATTGCAAAAATTGTGGGCAAATAACTAAATATTGTTCACATATATCAACCCACAAACTTGTGAATTTGAAAGGAGGAGGTGTTGCGCAACACCTTCAGGGCATTCAGACGAAAAAATTAACATAATACTTGAATAAGACTAATGAGGAAATGGAGGATAGGTAAGGGATACTAACTTACAAAACATGAATCGGATGTACTCACGTTTCGTCACTAATTGCATTGTTTTCATTAGTGTTATCGTGAACTTGTGCGGAATCCTCATCTGGAGTGTTTAACAGTTCCTGAGCTGCTTTAAGAGCTCTTAGCCTCTCTTGACGTGCTGCGACTGCTTGTTCAATGGAGTCCTCTTCAGCGGCCATGGCTTCGCCTATGCTATACAAATGAGGGAGAAACAGTCAAACATATAACAGATGAAATGACATTTAAAAAAAATATATATTGGCTTAGCACAAAAGAAATTAAAATAATTCAGAAGATTGTTAGAATTTACACCAGACTATCCTATCCAGCATGATATTCCTAATCTTTAATCTTTAATCACAAAGGGATATTAATTAAAGGTTATGCCCAAAAGATGCGAAAAAGGTAATTTGTAATAACAACTGGTTCAAAAAAAAGCCCTAGGCTGGGCTGGTTGGGCAGAAAAAGGGAAGAATACAACAGAAGCATGTTTTTCGAACACTCTAAATACGAATCTAATAGGAAAAAAGGTTAGGGCGTTTCAATTGAAAAACGAAGAGAAATCAGCAGCAGATATAATAATAATAGGATTGACCGAAGGTGCGAGTAGAAGATGGAATACCGGAGAAGACGAAGAGAAGGTCCCTGACCCGTCGTCTGCAATGCACTTTTAACGCTGTCACTTTCGAATGGAATGGAAGAATTGAGAATTTGAGAGGGTGGAGAAACAAAGGAGGTGGAAAAAGAAAGATAGAGCCCGACCACACCACAGAATTGAGATAATGGGCTTCTTTTCGTGTTGCATGAGTTGGGCCAGGTGAGATAAATGGGCTTCTGCTGAGCGAGCCACGTATTTAAAAACGAGTTGGGTCTATATGTATTGTAAGTATTGTCTCCCTCATTTGCATACCGAAGGCGAAGCAGCTTATAACTCACAATTGATGTCAATCAATACTACGGTATAGTGTTATTTTTCTTCACTTGGAAGTAAAAGGTTTTAGGTTCAAATCTCGTGAAAGGTGAATTCCATAAGACTACTCATTGTGTGGCTTAGCCGAACTTCTCCTCCACTTAATGTAAAAATGTCGCTTTGCTTAAAAAAAAAAAAAACTCACAGTTGTGAAAAAAATTGAAATCTTTAGTTTTAGGTAATATTTTGCTTACAAGTTAATGAAAATACTGCAAGACTTTTGGTTATGATCCTACCATTTATAAAGTGTCGGAAATATTTTTTTATTAATTTTTAAAGTTGAAAAAAATTAAAAAAAATAATATAAACTAATAGCGAGGCCCCCAAATAGATTTGTAAGTGTCGAAAATATTTGGAATGTCGTAATTAATTTAGAACATATGGTTGACCGGGGATTAGGAGGGCTTGCTAAAACCTCTAAATTGACTCAAAAACATAAAAACAAAGTTAAAAACGTTCACAAAGACTCAAAGGACTCAAAACAGGTTCAAAAGACTCAAAACTACCTAAAAACACTAACTAGGCAGTTTCTGACCCTAAACACAAATTTGGACGAATTTAAGATTATAGGTTGATTCAAAACACTTTAAAACACAAATTAAGACACTCTAACACTAAACTAGACTCAAAGAATACAAAACTAAACACTTAAAACACTAAAACAAACCAAAAGACTCAAACATCACCCAAAACACTCAAAACTGCCTTAAAAACACTTTCTGGGCAGTTTTGAGCACCTTGGTGAATTTGGACGAAATTAAGTTGTAATTTGACTCGAGACTCTTAAAAACATAAACTAAATTGATTTCTAACTAATTTGACAATAAAGTAAAGGGGGATTTAGGGTTTGACGAAATTAAACTAAATGAACAAATTACAATTAAAACAGAATGTAAATATGAAATGGATGAAATGAAATGAATGGATGCTATGGCTAGCTAAGGGGTTCATCTCCACACATGTTACACTTGCATAATAAAAAGATTTCCAATTGCATTTCAATAAATTATGAAACTCATCACCCCGGGTTAATTAGGTCCGCTTAAATTAACCTTCAAATCTTCCTAACATTATTGAATTGGATGATTGCATACGACAACCCAAAACATTCCCCACAAGTCCCCTACATGATTGCATAATAGAGATACAAGCAAGAATCATTACGCTCTATGAAAATTATAAGTGTTGACAAGGCATTCGTTACTATGATTGCATGAAACTTATGCCAAGAATTTATTTAACGCGATTGTTTATAAGCAACCTCCACTACTTGTGAATATAAGTTCATAACTATTAGGTGAAACTCACTTATATTCTAGCGTCATATTCATGCATGAAAATTAAGCGTGCACTCTCAATAAACATACATAAATAAGTTATCAATCAAACAGTTAAACAAATTGAATCCACAACTTATGAGACGCAATTAGAAGTAATCAAATCAAAATGCAAGCATAAACATATATTTCGAATCCCCCCCTAGCCAAGGGGGGGTATAGTTCCTCATGATACAAAACAAAGAGAATCAAAGAAACACCTAAACATTCCAACAACTCAAACTTGAATTGTATGAACGTTTAGGCCCTCTTCTCTTCCATTCCTCATTCGTACAAAACAAAGAGTATTGAAATTAAACATTGAAATCAAAGAAACA